CTGGGTCTGTGAGACGCCTGTGTATCTCCACACGTCTCGGTGGCTTGTTCTTTTTCATTGCTGTGTAGCTCTCCAACGCTGTGTTCTGGGTATACCACTCTTTGTGGCTCTGTTCTCCTGCTGATAGACATTTGGGTTGTGAGTTGACTTATTCCATTCACTTGACTTCTTTCTATCTTCACGATTTTGATCCAGAGTTTCTTGTATCAAGGCACTCTGCAGAGGTGTTTGACGAACAGTTGACTCTCTGGAAGTTTAAGGAACTGTGAGCGTTTTCATGATCCTGATCATTTTAGATCAGAAACATGTATTTATTGATTCACATCTTCTGTTTCAGAAAAAGACATTGGGAGGGGGAGAGGAAGAGAAAGAAGCAAATGAGCTTTAGCGGAAGTTTTCTCATTCTTCCCTTCACACGAGCTACCTGGCAGATGATGGAGTCCTCCTGTAATTTAAAGTCAAATACTCATAGGTGGCAGTGGAAGCCATAATAAATGTGTGGGCACTGTCCTTTTGGCGTCCTTTTTCTGCTACTTTGAGATCTCATAAATAACCGAGAGCACGCTGGTAAGACGCCTTCCGCCCCTCTGTTTGCTCCAGCTGCAGTTGCTAGGTTGAGCTCCTGGTTGCTAGGGATTTTGTGATCCTGTGGCGGCCCAGAAATATGATGGATCAGTGGAACATGCTTTTGCTATATTAACTGAAATGTTTCCCAAGCAAATCTCTCAATGTCACTGTATGCTTTGACGTCATCCCAATTCGTAGATGATCCCAGATTGGGAACTGCAAGTTTCCCAGTTAGAGGAAGTGACTTGAATGGAGGCGACAAGTATCTTGGACTGGGAGTCAGTCCCAGAATCAGAAAAGCCTACTTCTAGTCTGGCATCTGATATTAATTTGCTGTGTGACCTTGGGCAAGTGTCACCGCCTCTCTGGGCACTGGACACTGTGAAATTCAAAGACCTGCTGGCTTTAACAGCCTACAGGTCATCACCCAAGTTCTCTAAGCAGGTCAAGGGCAAATCAGTTGCTCATTATCGGCTGGGGGGTTATTGACAAAAGAATTCCCATTCCCGGCTCACTTCCTCTTCACCCAGCAGGCTTCTGGGCTGAGTCTCCTTGACCAGATGGTGTGTGCACAGTAGTTTCAGACTGATTTTAATATTCAATCAGACATAATTGGGATCATAAATCTTAAAAAAAAATCCTACAACCCATAAACATCTGATCATGTCATTTTCTGTTTCCTCCTGTTCAAATCTTTGGCAGGCTGGGTGCAGTGGCTCACACCTGTGATCCCAGCCCTTTCAGAGGCCATGGTGGGAGGATCACTTGAGTCCAGGAGTTTAAGACCAGCCTGGGCAACATAGTGAAACCTCATCTCTACAAAAAAAAATTAAATCAGCTAAGCATGGGAGTGCAAACCTGTAGTCCAAGCCACTTGGGAAGCTGAGGTGGAAGGATTGTTTGAGCCAGGAGTTTGAGACTGCGGTGGGCTATAAATACACCACTGCACTCCAGCCTGGGCCATAGAGTGAGACCCTGTCTCAAAAAAAGAAAAAGAGAGAAAAGAACAACAACCACCAAAAACCAGGCTCGGTGACTCATGCCTGTCATCCCAGCACTTTGGGAGGCCGAGGTGGGTGGATCACCTGAGGTCAGGAGTTTTAGACCAGCCTGACCAACATGGTGAAACCCTATCTCTACTAAAAATATAAAATTAGCTGGGTGTGCTGGTGCATGCCTATAATCCCAGCTACTCAGAGGACTGAGGCAGGAGAATCTCTTAAACCCGGGAGGCGGAGATTGCAGTGAGCCAAGATCGCACCACTGCACTCCAGCCTGTGCAGCAAAGAGCAAAACTCCATCTCAAAAAAAAAAAAAAAAGCAGTGTTTAGCAGGGAAGCTGTTCATGCTAGCTGCAAGAAGCCATGTCCTGAAAGGAATCTGGACTCACTGGCTTGCTGCTGGATCTTGACTGATTAATGATGTCTGTTAGGAGCCCAGGAATATAGTGGGGGCATGTATCAGTTCTTGCCAATCATGACTCGAGTTTAAAGTTTAATTTCATGGTTGAGGCCTTCAAGGTTGGCCTATGCCAGCTTCTCCAGCTTTGTCTTCTCCCCATCTCTGTCTGAGCCACCTCCAAAATGAACTGCTTCCAGGCCGGGTGCGGTGGCTCATGCTTGCAATCCCATCACTTTGGGAGGTCAAGGTGGGTGGATCACTTGAGTTCAGGAGTTTGAGACCAGCCTGGCTAACATGGTGAAGGCCCATCTCTACTAAAAATATGAAAATTAGCTGGGTGTGGTGGCGGGTGCCTGTCACTCCAGCTACTCAGCAGGCTGAGGTGAGAGAATCGCTTGAACCCAGGGGGTGGAAGGTTGCAGTGAGCTGAGATTGCACCACTGCACTCCAGCCTGGGCAACAGAATCAGACTGTCTCAAAAACAAACAAAACAAAACAAAACCAAAATAACTGCTTCCAGGGACCACCTGTTGTCTCCCCAAATCTCCTTTGCTCATGCGGTTCCCTTACCCATTGGGACCTTTATTACATTCCGTTGGCCAGCTCTGCCTACTTATCTGTCAAACCTCTTTTAGTTTGATCTGCTCTGTGTTATTCTCTTTGACTGTCTTGGGTGGGGTTAATTACCCATCATCCCTCTGATGTCCCATGGTTCTCTGCATAGAGCTATAGCACAGCCTACCCTGCAGAGCCTACATGTAGACCCTAACTATAGACTCCATACAGCTACCTACAGACCCCATACAGCTACCTACAGACCCCATACAGCTACCTACAGACCCCATATACCTACCTGTAGACCCCATATACCTACCTGTAGACCCCGTATACCTACCTATAGACCCCATATAGCTACCTACAGACCCCATGTAGCTACCTACAGACCCCACACACCTACCTATAGACCCCATACAGCTACCTACAGACCCCATATAGCTACCTATAGACCCCATATACCTACCTATAGACCTGATATAGCTACCAATAGACCCCATATAGCTACCTACAGACCCCATATACCTACCTATAGACCCCATATACCTACCTATAGACCCCATATAGCTACCTACAGACCCCATATACCTACCTATAGACCCATATACCTACGTACAGACCCCACGTAGCTACCTACAGACCCCATATAGCTACCAATAGACCCCATATAGCTACCAATAGACCCCATATAGCTACCTACAGACCCCATATAGCTACCTACAGACCCCATGTAGCTACCTACAGACCCCACACACCTACCTATAGACCCCATATAGCTACCTACAGATCCCATATAGCTACCTACAGACCCCATATACCTACCTACAGACCCCACGTAGCTACCTACAGACCCCATATAGCTACCTACAGACCCCATATACCTACCTATAGACCCCATATACCTACCTATAGACCCCATATACCTACCTACAGACCCCATATAGCTACCTACAGACCCCACGTAGCTACCTACAGACCCCATACAGCTACCTACAGACCCCATATAGCTACCTATAGACCCCATATACCTACCTATAGACCTGATATAGCTACCAATAGACCCCATATAGCTACCTACAGACCCCATATACCTACCTATAGACCCCATATAGCTACCTACAGACCCCATATAGCTACCTACAGACCCCACACACCTACCTATAGACCCCATATAGCTACCAATATACCCCATATAGCTACCTACAGACCCCATATACCTACCTATAGACCTGATATAGCTACCAATAGACCCCATATAGCTAACTACAGACCCCATATACCTACCTATAGACCCCATATACCTACCTATAGACCCCATATAGCTACCTACAGACCCCATATAGCTACCTACAGACCCCGCACACCTACCTATAGACCCCATATAGCTACCAATAGGCCCCATATAGCTACCAATAGACCCCATATAGCTACCTACAGACCCCATATAGCTACCTACAGACCCCATGTACCTACCTGTAGACCCCATATAGCTACCAATGGACCCCATATAGCTACCTATAGACCCCATATACCTACTTGTAGACCCTATACACCTACCTACAGACTCCATACACCTACCTATAGACCCCATATACCTAACTATAGACCCCATATACCCACCTATAGACCCCATACAGCTACCTATGGACCCCATATAGCTACCTATAGACCCCATATAGCTACCTATAGACCCCATACAGCTACCTATAGACCCCATACAGCTACCTATAGACCCCATACAGCTACCTATAGACCCCATACACCTACCTACAGACCCATATACCTACCTACAGACCCCATATACCTACCTATAGACCCCATATAGCTACCTATAGACCCCATATACCTACCTATAGACCACATACAGCTACCTATAGACCCCATACAGCTATCTATAGACCCCATATACCTACCTGTAGACCTCATATAGCTACCTATAGACCCCATATACCTACCTGTAGACCTCATATAGCTACCTATAGATCCCATATACCTACCTATAGACCCCATACACCTACCTACAGACTCCATACACCTACCTATAGACCCCATACAGCTACCTATCAACCTGTACCCACACCCTACCTACCACTAAGCCCATTTCACACTTAGTTGCTTTCATGTCTCTTTTCGTTCTACCTTGAGAGGGCCTCAAAGTCAAGGTCCAGGCTTTGCTTATCTTTGCATCCCTAGACCAGAGCCCAGCACAGAGCAGAGTTTCCATAAATCTGTAATGCATGCAGACATGAATGAATAAAAGCCACACTGCATTTTAAAGTCAGAGAAAAATGATTTGGATAACTTTCCCAGTCATCTGAGTTAGTCTGTCAATAGTCCTCAGCTTAATTGTGGGTAATTTGCTGTGGCAATAAAGTGACCCCTACATTCCTCCTAGATGGAGCTCAGCTTCAAGTCATGAGTTAGTGTCTTCTCCATCGTAATGGCCTTGTTTTCTTCCCATCTCCCTTTGCTCCCAGCCTGAAGATAAGCAGAAGGCAGCAGCTGCCTTTGCCCAGCTCCAGAGTGCCATGGAGACGCTGGGCATTTCAGAGAGCGAGCAGCGGGCCATTTGGCGGGTCTTGGCAGCCATCTACCACCTGGGCGCGGCAGGGGCCTGCAAAGGTACGTTCTTCCTGCCGAGCTCACCTGGGTGGCCAGCTGTCTCCTTTGGCAGGTGCCTGACAAGGCCCTCCTTTGGACAGGTGGAAACAGGGTCAATCTGTCACCTTCTGTGTCTCTGGGACTGCTCTTGGGGAGGCTGCTGAAACCAGGCATCATGAGGAGGACACAGCTGCCATTTCAAGCAAACCTTCTAGATCAGCTCTGTCCAAAAGAACTTTCTGCAATGGTGGAGATGATCTCTCTCTATGCTGTTTAGTGCACTAGCCACTAGCCACAGGCTGCTACTGAACACTTGAAATATAGTAGTGTGACTGAGGAATTGAAATTTTTTTTTTCCCTGAGATAAAGTCTCACTCTGTTGCCAGGCTGGAGGGCAGTGGCATGATCTCAGCTCACTACAACCTCTGCCTCCCGGGTTCAAGTGATCCTCGTGCCTCAGCCTCCCAAGTAGCTGGGACTACAGGTGCTTGTCACCATGCTCAGCTAATTTTTGTGTTTTTAGTAGAGATGGTATTTCACCATGTTGGCCGGGATGGTCTCAATCTTTTGACCTCATGATCTGCCTGCCTCAGCCTCCCAAAGTGCTGGGATTACAGGCTTGAGCCACTGTGTCTGGCCAGGAATTGAATTTTGATTGCATTTAATTCTACTTAATTTAAATTTAAGTAGTCATAGGTAGCCAGTGGCTACTGTACTGGCACTGCAGTAGAGCAGCCTGATAATATGCAAAGGAAGGTAAGATTGAGTCTATGCAGTAAAGGTGCTGTGTTTCTTTTTTATTTCTTAAATTTTTGTTGTTTGAGACTGGGTCTTGCTTTGCTGTTTGGGCTGAGCAGCAGTGGTGAAATTATAGCTCACTGTAGCCTCCACCTCCTGGGCTCAGGCGATCCTCCTGCCTCAGCCTCCTGTGTAGGTGGGTGTGCACCACCACGCTTGGTTAATTTTAAAAAAAATTTTTTGTAGAGACAGCGTCTCACTTTGTTGCCCAGGCTGGTCTCAAACTCCTAGGCTCAAGCGATCCTCCTGCCTTGACCTCCCAAAGTGGTGGGATTACAGGCACGAGCCACTGCACCCAGCCAAGGTGCTGTGATTCTAGCTAGACATCCTGGAGATAATTCCCTGCCACATGCCCTGAAACTGATATTGTGTCCTTGTCCCTATCCTTAAGTGTCTATTTGCTGATTGTCCCTATTTTGATCTGGTCTTCCAAGTGGTTTCCCCCTTACCCTCTCCCTATCCAGGCATTCACCATGTTGCAGAGACAGTATCTGTGACATCATTTCTGTCCTAGTTTCTCTATCCTTAGTGTCGGCCCCTTTCACTGGGTGTTTACCGTTGTGTGTGTATGCTTCCTTGCTGAGAGCTCCACTCCTCCTTCCACCCATTCTCATCGTGACCATCAAGTTCTTTTCTATAATAGAGACCTGCGGTGCCATTCTCCTGCTTAGAATCCTCCTGAGGCTCTCCCTGGCCTCTAAGTCAAATAAAATTCCTTGGCTCAGCATTCAAAGCTCCTCACCTCCCTAACCTGTCTCTTCTGCTCCCTCTTTTGGCAATAGATAAGGTGCCAGGGAGAGAGTGAGGATGAAGAGCAAGGGTTTCTACCTTCACGGGGCCTTTGGTGCCTTGTGTTGTAATTGTGACTCTGTGTAGCTCTTTTCAGTGGCCATTGGCTGATCTTGGGCCCAGAACATAGAGCTGGAAGTTACTTATTCAATGAACATGTGTGTGAATTCACATCCGTCCTGGGACTGTGTATGGATCCTGCCTGACGTTCTGGGCTCTTACCTTGTGGGACAGCAAAATCTTCTAGAAGGTGCTGACGCATGCTTTCTGTCATCCCCACATTCCTGGGCCCTGTGGCCCATTCCTTTGATTCTCATCCATTTGAGCCACAGACCTTAACCCACTGATTTGATTTTGTAAATTTCTAGAAGTCATACTGATTCAGGAGTAAGTAAGGTGGGATTCCACAGTCAATCCAAGCCAAGGACAGATGTGCTGGGCTGGGCAAACATGAAAAAAAACCAAATGCCACCTGCCTTTCCAAAAATCAGCCATGGACATTCACAATGGCAAAGATATGGAACCAACCTAAGAGCCCATGGACTAATGAGTGGATAGAGAAAATATGGTATGTAGGTACTCCATGGAATAATGCTCGGCCCTAAAAATGGGATGAAATAATATCTTTTGCAGGAACTTGGATGGAGCTGGAGGCCATTATTCTAAGTGAAGTAACTCAGGAGTGGACAACCACATGTTGCACATTTTCACTTACAAGCGGGAGCTAAGCTATGAGGATGCAAAGGCGTAGGAATGATATAGTGGGTTTTGGGGACTCAGGTGGCAGAGGTTAAGAGGGGGTAAGGGCTAAAACACTAAGTATGGGGTACAGTGTACAGTGCTGTGGGGTTGGGTGTACTAAAATCTGATAAATCACCACTAAATAATTTAACCAAAACCCACCTGTACCCCCAAAATGATTGAAAAAAATCTGCCATGGGCCACACTAAGCGCTTGGTTCTTGGGGATCACCAGCACTTTGCTCAGGGAACTGTGATGTCTCTCATTCAACCTCCTGGTCACTGAGGCCAGCCTTAGTCAGGAACAGACCCTGAGACAAAGAGGTGGGGACATGTTGTGTATCTCTGTTAGGGCCCCAGAGGCTCCAGTAGGGGAACGGGAAAATGACACAGCGGAGGGGAGGCAGGTGATGCAAGGTGCATGAAGGAGCAGCTTACCCTGGGAAACAGGCTCAGTCCTGCTGAGGACCCTGGGAAACAGGCTCAGTCCTGCTGAGGACCCTGGGAAACAGGCTCAGTCCTGCTGAGGACCCTGGGAAACAGGCTCAGTCCTGTTGAGGACCCTGGGAAACAGGCTCAGTCCTGCTGAGGACCCTGGGAAACAGACTCAGTCCTGCTGAGGACCCCGGGAGACTCTGAGCAATATGCCTCCTGGTGGTCTTATCCAAGAGACCAGGAAGTCAAGATATTCATCCGGAGACTCAGGGAGCCCCCTGGCTGATTAGCCTGTCACCAGGGAAGTGAAGGAGGTCAATTTCATTCCTGAGTTTCTCCTCCCGCGGCCAAGTGGGAAGTCCCTTCTTTGATGTGGGCTCAAGGACCTGACCCATCCACACCAGTGCGTCTGACGATAAAAGAGAAAGTCACTTTTATAAATATTTTATTAATACTTGATGACGGCAATAATTTCTGCCAGCCCTCCCCTCCCACCCCACCTTATAAATTATTTTAAGAAGAACTGTCGTCAGTCTGCCTGGGAGGCCTGCCCGATGATTTACTTACTTATAGATTCTGCTTTGAAAGATTTCATAATAGGTTGCTCTAAAATCAGCTATTAAGAATTTCAAAGTCGTATATAAATGTCTTTGCTTTGTGTCATAACAGATCATTTTGAAATATATTAAGAATCATTTTCATTAATCAAGTTTTTTTTCTTTTTCATTAAAATGATACTGCCTTCTCAGTGCGCCTGGCTTCCTAGCTAATTCTGAGAGTCTGACTCCTATGTTTAAAAGCCAGTAATAGTTCCCTCTGGGGGGAATTCAGGCCTTATAACTGGACACAGGGTTTTAGAACTGTTACAGCAATGACAATAACCACTAATATTGGGTTGGTGTTTGACCCAACCCAATAGAGTTTCAAAACTAATAATTTCAAAAGCACTTATGCCTCTATTTCGCCTTTTGATTGGATTAGACTTATATGCTAACTTAATGCCATGGGCAAGAGTCGGGAGTCCACCTGCTGGGTATGAATGCTGGCTCAGCCTCTCTGAGCCTCAGTCTCTTCTTCTGTCAAATGGGGCTAATGATGGTACCCTCTTTGTAGGCTTCTCCTGAGGATTGAGGGAGTCAGTGCCCAAACGGCAGCGCACAGGACTTGGCTCCTGGTGGGTGTTTCACAAGGGTTCATTTTCATCCATCTCCATTTTAGAGACAAGCAAACAGAGGCTCAGAGAAGGTGTGCCACTGACCTGGTATGACACAGCCAGGACCTTCCAGGTGGGATTTGGGCCATTCTCATTTTCCTGGGGACGCTATGTTGAGTGCTGGTAGACCTGATGATGTCATCACCTCCTTAGAACAGCCTGGGAGGGGTGAGGACTGTTATGATGCCCATTTTATAGACGAAGAAACTGATGCGCAGCAGAGAATTTTGTCCGTATTCCTCAGGACGTACAGCCAAAGCTAGAGATGGGATTTGGACTTAGGTCTGCCTGAGCTCTGAGCCCTGAGACAGACCTCTGAAACCTCACCTCCTACCTCCCAAGCACCCTGTGACTAGCAGGCCTACAATTCAACTCAATTCTGACACTACCCTGAGTGAACAGAGTTAGCACAGACCCTGAAGGTTAAGGGTTCAGTCCCACAAGAATGTCCCCATTTTAGATGCCAGCTGCAAGCTCCCGGCCTCCCATACATCTAACCAAGTGGCTTTTGAGCTGTGAGTTCTCATGACCCCCTTCTTTTGTCTAATCATTCACTAGAATGACTCACAGGATTCAAGAAAACACTTCACTTACAACCACCGCTCTATTATAAAGGATACAACTTAGGAGTAGCCAGAATAGGGAAGGGATAAGGGAGAGGGCAGAGACTCCTGTCTGCTCCAAGCAACACAGCACTTTGATGTGTTGGAAGCTCTCTGAGCCCCTCCTTTAGGAGTGTCCATGGAAGTTTCTCTATGCAGGCATGATTGATCAAATCATTGGCAGTTAACTTGATCTCCGGTTCTTCTGTTACATCTTGAAAAGAAACCCTATAGCCTTTAGCTATTGCTCTCTCAGCCCCCAGCCCTACGCAAGCCCGAATCTGCTTTCTGTCTCTGTGGATTTCCTTGTTCTGTACGTCCGACATGAATACAGTCATGCAATAGGTGCATATGCTGCCTTTTATGATTGGCTGCTTTCACGTGGTGGAATGGTTGCAAGGTTTATTCGTTTTGTAGCATGGATCGGTACTTTATTCCTTTTTA